TCCCACACCTTCTCGTCTTTCGCATGGTCATTTTTGAACTCGCCGCAACTGACGAAGAAAACGCATGTGAGGTCTGAGGTAAAAATGTCGTTTCCGCCCAGATAAACTTTTAAAAATAATTATTTTTCAAACGTTTTATTTTAACTTGTTATTTAAAATGTTTTAAATGCAATGTTAAAACGATGGTAATTTGAATGATAAAATCATGGTTTTGTTTTTCTTTTCTTTTTTCTGTCGTGTAATCGACTATTGTTTTCAGTGTCGACTAGTAGGAGCTGTACCGTTTAGTCGACTAGACCCGCACATCCCTATTTCAGACCTGCAGTTATTACAAGTTCAGGAACTCCTGTTGATTAAACATTACAAAATTCTTTCTAGTGCTCCACTGGCTAAACATTTATACTTGATCCCCAGATGGCAAACATTAGGGCTGGGTATCGATTCAGATGTCCCGATTCGATTCGATTTCGATTCGCAAGCTCTCGATTCGATTCGATTCTCGATTTTTTTGATTACATTCAGTGAATATAGTTTTAATACAAATGTTATTGATATTTCTAAAAAAATTAACAGTAAACATCAGTTTACAAATAGTGATTTAATAAAAAGACATCCCTGTATTTTTAATCTATTCTTTTTTTTTTTATAGGGTCCTTTTTTAAACAATAATAGGGCCCTATAAAATGTTCTTAATTTTTCTGGTAATCAGATGAAGGCATAAAACATTAATGTAATTTATCCTAATCAAATGAAAATTAAATCCTTTTATTTTTTGGCAAACAAAGTGCTGCACAACAGAGGTTTACTGTTAAAATTAAAAATAAAACAGATGTGATTATTCCTTTAAAAATAAAGATTTATTATTATTTATTAGCAGTAGTAGCATTGTGTCTTAAGACTGCTAAATAGTAATATATTCTGACAGTTTAACGTTAAACTAAACTTTTATTTTGACGGGTTGCCGTGACGAACTTGCAGCTGCTGTGTATGTGAAATGACGGTAGTTTTCTCAAATGAAACGGTAAAATGCTAATGAAGTGACTCTCAGAGCAGCTGGAGATGACATTTGTGTTCATATCATCATATATATAGTGACACGGCAGAAGCTGAAAACACCACGAGGGTCATCCGCGCTTTAGTATGCGTGTAGTAAACAAAACAGTGCGACGCGCCATCCGCCATTCATTCATTGCGAAATCATGGCGCCTTTTGCGTGATATCAAATGCTTCCGCAGATTTATAGTATTACTTATAGCATTTCACCTGAGCACTGCGAATCACGAGTATGGCCATGATAAGCGCTGAATGAATGACAGGCTTTCTGTTGTAACATCGCGCAAGGTAAATAAGGGTGACATCTAGTGGAGAAGATTAATGATAAGATTCACGTTAATCAGATCTTGTTTTAAATGTGTGCTGAAATAAATACCGGAAAAGATCGATTCGCGGCATTTGAGAATCGATATCGAATCGACGTCATTTTAAAAAAACGATTAATCGAAAAATCCATTTTTTTGCCCAGCCCTACTAAACATTCCAAAAGTGTTTGCAGAACTCCACTTTACTAAACATTGCAGAACTCATTCTAGAGCTTCAGTTGACTACACATTTTGTAACCCATCTTTGAGCTCCAGTTAACTAAGCATTCCAGAACTCATCCTTGAACTTTAGATAGTCAAGTGTTCCAGAGCTCTTTCCAGAACTATACTTAAATGCTCCGGAACTCATTTCAGAACGCGTTATAGAACTCCAGCTGGATAAATCTAGAGCTCAGTATACAGCGCAAGATTGAGAACTGCTGCTTTCAAAATCTCCACTGAACAGACCTCATATGTGCAAATGTAGACAGCCATTATTCAAAAACCACAACCATGACACATTTTAAATGGCCTGTTTTTGCAACTTTGTTTACATAAATGGTGTGGGCAAAGAGAGGAGGGCATTGCCATTTATATCATTTTTATATCTAAATAAACTATCAATGTCTTATTTTTAAATCTCATACCTTTTTCTATTATATGTCCTAGATTATGCCCTAGATCTGTGCATAGTCTACAGACACCTAATGAGATTTAGGCTATGGCTTTGAATGTACAGTAAGCACTGAAAGGGGTTCACTGAAGTTCTGCTGATTAGTTCTGCATAGCAGAGCGCAGAGAGAAAACAGATACATGCGCGGAGGGGCTGGATGGGGTGATAAGGGAGGAAGAAGTAAGATGAAAGAATGCGAAGGCTTTCCTGAGTCGGCTAGTCATATTTCCTCCCTCAATGTCTGTTTATGGGAATATCTGTTATTTAGTGACCTGTATAACTCCGAACAGGTGGAGGAGTGGGGCAGTCTGGGACATCGGAGGACTGGAGGAATGTTGCAATCTGTTCCTGTGTAGATGAGCCACACTATGGTGATACTCACTGAGGGGGGAGGTGGAGAAGCCGGCTACGGAGCTGGCCATGAAGAAGTCTGCGATCTGCTGCAAAGCGAGCAGTCCTGTGGGGTCGTTCCCCTTGTTCATCTGTTCCTGGATCAGTCCCTCTAGCTCATCCCTAAATGCCTGAAAGAGAAAGAAAACACAAGATTAGTGATGACTCACACACTGTAATGAGAGATGGACACAGAGCTGTAATCCTCTCACGCTCCTGCATGTTTAAACCTTCTGTACTCCGTTTTTTCCACTTGTATCTTGACAACTAGTTAAGTCTATTAACCCATAGGCCTACTCCACTTACTCTGAAGAGCTGGATTGAGACTCTCTACAGAAAAACAAGGTAGTGAAGGATGAAAGTACCATCTTAAATTCTTTGGGTACATCCAAAATTCATTTTCAGTCCACTGGAACAGTTTATTTTCAATGTTTAGGGAAGGAAACCATCTGTAACTGGTTTTAGAAGCAGTACAAAGCTCTTCTGTATGATGCACTGTCATTCTGCACACCTGCTCGAAGTCTCGAATGAATCTCAAATGAATCACAGGATAAACAGACACTGACAGAGCGCTCAAACTGACACAATGCCTCAGTTACGATGACTGCTTGTTCTTACTTACAGAGACTCACAGACTTGTCTTATTTACAGGTGTGAGTAAGTGTCTGGATGTGAACTGAGGCATGTACAACTTCACTCGGCACTGTATTTGAGATTGGTGAGATCCAAACATGCAAACAGTATGCAAAGATATATATGCATATCAGAAAAAGGAAGGTAAACTAGTCTCAGCAGGCACGCTCTGTTCACTGATGGCCTGATGAGTTTTGCACATAAATTGTCAAGCAGTAGTAAAAATCTGGACTGATTGGTTTTATGCAAACTGCAGGTACTGGGATAAATAATGGCTTTTTGAAGTTGTTTATATGGTACCGGATTGCAATAAGCATCAAATGAATCACTAGATTTGCCAGGTTATTGGCATCAAATCTTTGAGAGATACTTTAAGGCACTTAGAAAAAGTTAACATATTCACAAATATAAATATTTTGCTTTGAGCGTGAAATAATAATTAAAAAAAATAGACTAAGTTTGATTTCTGCCAATTTGTTCTGTTTACCATAGAGATTTGTTTTTTTTTTTACCCATATTATAGTGGCAACAAATATTTGAGATAATTCTTCCTACAGACAGTACTAAAAAACAAAATGGTTGTTTCACAGGTCTAATTGGGTCATTCTTGGCCAGAATTTCATGCAAGTCTGGCTATGCAAGACTACAGGAAAACAAATGTAAATTCCTCTTCAAATCTACGGATTCTCTGTCCATTCTGGGATGTGTTTTTGGCTGATCTGTGTGTCCAATAAAGCACTTTAACGTCCCACCGCAGGGGCATCCTAGTGCGCACCACAGGTCTAGAGAGACTGAGCTAAAGAAAGTCTGATTTCCATAGTCACAGTCGCCAAGCAGCCACAGGGAAGTGGGCATGGTGTTTGTGTATCCATGTGCGGGCCATCCCTGCCAAACTCTCAGTGACTTTGTGTGTGTGTGTGGGTCAGTGAAGTTCGCTGGGGCTTGATTTCCTAATCTAGGGTTAAACAAACTACATGGGAAGCAAATTAAATTGGCCCTTAAGTTTGTTTGGATTTGAATGAGAGTCTCATTCATCAAGCATACACTGAAAAAAAGAGAAAGAAAGAAGCCATAAATTCATGACGTTAATGCCCACGTAATAGCCCAAAAAGTAAAAGTAAAGCACATTAACAGCTGTTCGGTGACATTTTGCCCAAATTTCACTGCAGCCTTAAAGGGTTAGTTTACCCAAAAAAGAAAATCCTGTCATTAATTACGCACCTTGTCATTCCAAAGACCTACGCTAAGACCTTCGTTCATCTTTGAAACACTAATTAAAGCTTTCTGATAGGGCTGGGTATCGTTTAAAAATTTTCGATACCGGTTCCTGAACGATACTTTTTTCGATACCAATTTTATGAAATCAATTTTAACTAGATTACATTATCTAAAAAAAAAAAAAACTTTGGTTTTATTTTTCAGCTTGTTGATGTTTATACAAACTCAAAGGCTCATCTCCTGAGCCACTGCACAAAGGAACAAAATGTAACCAACACAATAAATCAGTGCAAAATAGTTTTAATAAAGCTCAAATAGTCTTTAGTTTACACATCTGTTAGGCTACATTTACACTAGTTAGTGTTCGTTTTAAAACGCATAGCTCAGACAGAATCATGATTTCTATTTATTTTCCACTGATTTACTGATGAGCATTAGCAGCTTCCAGCGCGGTCTGCTTGTGTTCTCTCTTCCATGATCGCTGCTCTGATAACATATTTATTTTCAGCAGCATTACATGGCCAAAACACACATTAGACGGCAATCAGAAGTTATTACAAACACTCGGTGTTGGTTTAAAGTGAGTTTTGAGTAAAAGTGGAATATAAATCTTTGTTTTCATGACAGTTTGCATGAATGGTCACAGAACACGTGCTTTCGGCTGTGTAACGTTAGTATGAACGGACATCTGCATATGATCGGAACTCCACGCAGCTCCCGCGCTACTCTCCATTGGAAATGAATGACCGGTCTGTCGCTTGTCGGAGATAGTGGAAAGCCGGCTTGAAAGGCTAGTACGACACCAGTATGACGAGGATCGTTTTCATTTAAAAAAATAAACGCACCAGTGTAAATGTAGCCTTACATCGCATAAGCACTACAGCCTCACGTGTGCGCCACATCTCTGAGTGTAACCGGCGTAAACTAGTAGGTGTGTTCAACTTGACGTGGACCGACTGTGCAGACCGATCGGTGTATTACAGTACCACGAGAGCTAAAGAGAGCAGACTGCTCCGTGCGCTTTCGAATCGCTCTTGC